GTCACCACAATCGAAGGGACCATCCCCTCCATCACGGTCGTCACCACCGCGCAAACCACTCCCTCCTCCACAGCGCAAACCACTCCAACCTCCACAGTGCAAACCACTCCCTCCTCCACAGCTGCCTCCAGCAACACCCCCCTGCCGACCTCCTCTACTCCTACCACCTCTACCACCACATCCATCAACCCTTCAACCTCCACCATCGTCCCGTTCCCTCCACCTCCTCCCTCATCCGGCTCATCCAGCACACCGCCTCATTCCTCGCCGATCCATGTCACCCCTCTCCCCCCCCCCGCACTCCCAAACCCTCTCCCAACCCATCATGACCACCTCCACCATCCCCACCATCTGCCCCACCTATTCCCAAGCCACCTCGGGGGTTTACCCCGCAATGCCACAACTCCCCCCCAACCACCTCCTTGAGGACAACAACCAAATCGACCACACCTGCTACGACACCACCCTCGATAACCTCAGCTTCAACACCCTCTCGCAGATCGTTCACCGCGACGGGGAAATCCCCCGTTCCTTCCGATCCGGCGAAATCATGTCCTTCTCCGGCCTCCCCCACGAGGACGTTTTCCTCTTCCTAACCCAGCTCCAGAACTCTTTTCACCTCCACCACATGCCCCTTGCCCACTGGCTCCCCATTGCCACCTCCCGCCTCCTCGGCAATGCCGCCAAATGGTGGATGGCTGAAGTCAGCAACCGCCGAGCCTCTGGAGGACCACGTCACTCCTTCCTCCAATGGGCCAAACTTCTCGCTGCCACCTTCCGCCCCCAGAAAACCATTGATGACTACCTCRAACAATTCTGCCACCTCCGCCAAACCGGTCCCACWGACCGCTTCGTCYAATACATCCGCTCCCTCCGCCATCACCTCCCYACCACCRTCATTCCCGACTTTGCGTTCATCTCCCGCATCAAGCGAGTATGCCACAAAGATCTTGCCACCGCCCTCGCCCACAAACCCGACATGCCCCTTGCTGACCTCCTTTCTCGCATGCTTCACCACGATCGACGACTCCACCCCCATCACCAGTCCGCGTCCGCTCCCTCCCGCCCCCTCTTTTTCCATAACGACACCACTCAACCCACCTCCGATGACGACTTCGACACTGCCTCTCTCGACCCCTCCCAATTCACCATCGAAGACCTCCAGACCGCCCACCTTATACGGATGGAACGCCAGGATCGTGCCTCTCGACCGCCTTCTTCCTCTCCACCCCGCCGCCTCCAGAAACTCACACCCGCAGAACGCATATACCTCCAAGAACACAACGGGTGTTTTCGTTGCCGCCAGTTAGGTCATAAACAGACCAACTGCCCCAACGCTAGCCACTGTACTCGACAGGCCCCTCGCTCCACGGGACCCGGCCCTTCTACTCCCACTCCTCCCTCCACCTGAACACTGTCCACGCAGTCTTCCATGTCGAGTACCTAAAAGAATACCATGAATCCCCGCTCCAGTTCGCCAACCGCCCATATCCTAGACCTCCACCAATCATGCTACCCACAGGCCCTGAATTCGTTGTCGAAACCATCATCGGCCGACGAACCACTCAGGTATCTGATCATCCGGAACCAATCACAGAAT